TTTTCTGCTGCTTCACCTTGAGGTGCTCGTCATAGTACTGCTTCCACCTCTAAATTTTATGGAGTGACCATTTTACGGATGTTGTTGATCTTCCGGACGACGGTCCCATGGCTATATCTATCATGTTTAAGTCACGATCACAAATTCATTATTATATCACAGTTCCTAACGTTTTTGTAAAAAAAAAACTGTGGAGCTCTAGGATCAGTTTCATTGATTAACCTCTTTTACGGATGTTCTGGACTTACCAGATATTTCTTATATCGCAGTTTCACATGCTTTCGAAAAAACCGTAGAACTCTAGGATCAGTTTCGAGGATTGACCATTTTTAAAGATGTTCTAGATCTTGCGGAGGACGGTCCCATGGGCTTCTGGGTACATGTTTATGTCACGACTGCAAATTAATTTATATATGACAGTTCCAAGTATTTTCGAAAAAAAAAACCGTGCAGCTCTAGGATCAGTTCCATACATTGACCACTTTTACGGATTTTTCGGATCTTCCGGAGGACGTTCCGATGGCCATCTGGGTCCATGTTTATGTCACGATCTCAAAATCGTTCTAATATAACAGCTCCTAACGTTTTCAAGAAAACCACGGAGCTCTAGGATCAGTTTCGTGAATTTTCCACTTTCACGGATGATCCGGATCTTTTGGAGGACGGTCCCATGGACATCCAGGTTCATGTTTATGTCACAAGCCCAAATTCTTTCTATCATCACAGTTCCTAATGTTTAAAAAAACGCGGAGCTCTAGGATCAGGAGAGTGGATTTACCACTTTTACGGATGTTCCGGATCTTGCGGAGGACGGTCTCATGGCCATTTGGGTCCATGACCCAAATTCATTCTTATATCACAGGTCCTAATGTTAAAAAAACACGGAGCTCTAGGATCAGTTTCATGAATTGTCCACTTTTACGGATGTTCCGGATCTTCCGGAGGACGGTCCCATGGCCATCCAGGTACATGTTTATGTCACGACACCAAAAATTTGTTTATATCACAGTTCCTAATGTTTTCAAAAAAACCGCAGCGCTCTAGGATCAGGATCATGGATTGACCATTTTTACGGATGTTCCGGATTTTTCGAGGACCGTTCGGTTGTATCCAAGATCCATATATAGGAACCATCACTGTATTCTGGCTAATTGTGAACATTTGTGCTCATTAATCTAAATTACAGATCTTGCGCCACTTGCAAAACCCTACAAACACACCTTAAAAAAAAGTGTAACAACTCTTTTCGCTTTTTAAAAAAGTAGACGACTCTATTTTCAAGTTTTTTGCAATCAAAATCATTTAGAAATCCTAGGAATTCTAAAGGTACCACAATTTTTTAAATTCATTAAGAAATGGCTAAGTTGTGCCATTGCAAACTTGCCGTTACACGTTTTTCGGAGGCATCGTATTCGGAGTGTTAATATACCTAAACACTCTAGGCAGGAAAAAGTTAAGCTTCGAAGAATTATTATTATTGTTATTATTATTATTATTATTATTATTATTATTATTTTTATTATTATTATTATTATTATTATTATTATTATTATTATTATTATTATTATTATTATTATTATTATTATTATTATTATTATTATTATTATTATTCTTATTATTATTATTATTATTATTATTATTATTATTATTCAGCTTTATTTACGAGCCTTTCAGTTTTCAGCTTCGACGATTTTTTTAATCAAAATACAACTGACTACTCTTCTAACTCAGTGTGTGCTTCCTTGCCTCAACCATAATAGTTTGATAAATCGCTCAAGTAGGGGAAATGGATGTAATGTCAGCCTAAATGCTCCTAATTTCGGCCCATACATAAATTCAGCAATCAACTTAATTTTTAATAGTGACCAAAAATATCCATAAGTACCGTCCCAATGACGCGTTCATCTAGATACATTTGATACATAGCAGATTTTTAGCGATGGGCCCAATCTTGGATCCATAGGCCAACATTAGAGCCCTTTCCCCTATTTGTATTTTTTTTTCTGTTTGCTCTATTCCATCTGTTGTTTCAATTATACATTGTATTGTTTTGGAAAATCTCGATAATTTTGGAATAATCATCCCGGGATTCGGGATTTTCATGATCCCGGTAAATTCCGGGATTTATGTACTGTATTTGATACATTTTTTGAAACCACAAGATTAATTTAAAATTTGTTATTAACCCTTCGTCTGTGCCAAAAAAAAAACTTACGTTGTCTGTACCTTGAGGTCAGTTTGACCCCAAATTCAAATTGTCATATCTCAGCGAAGGTTCAACAGACTATCGAAATTTCAAATGTTATGTAAGGTAAATTTAGTGGACTTTCTGTTTAAATTATCAAAATTTATTCAGGGGGCGGATTTACTATAGGGAGGGGTCATTCTAAAAGTATTCCCATGAAGTGGCATATTTTTATGTTAGAGCTGTTTATATCACAAGATCTCAACCAAATAGGATGTTGCTTCTTTCTGTGAAGATGTTCAAAAATACAAGGTCTTCAAAACTATGGATAGTGTATGACAGAATTCACTCCCTAGGTGGCACTAAAACGAAAACGATCAAGTTGCGCCATCGTAAATACACATTATATAACGTTATCTACAGATCCTGCACATATGGATGGTTCAAGTCTTCAGCAATCCAGATGAACAAGACCTATCTTCAGGAAAAGAGTATAGTTCATAATTAACTCACCAGGCAGCACTAGTGTAACACTCATTAAGCTTAACCTTAACCTTCTATTTATTCCATGTGTTAGGTAATGACAAAAGTTTAAAATTAATATCACACTGGTGCAATTTGGTAAGTGTTTTCTGAACTAAACTCTAATTCTGAAGATAGGAATTCTGAACAACTTCGAAGGGGTGATCCCAGCGTAGAGGTCAGCATCCATACCTCTCACGCCAAAGTCACGAGTTCAAATCTTACCCCCGCACAATTCACGAATGACCCAAGAGCGTTAAAGTGACTATATTAAAAAAAAAACTTTGCCGAAGACGGGAACCTTCTATCTAATCCATATGTTAAGTTAGGGCAAACATGAAAATATAATGCCACACTAGCGTCGCCTGATGAGATAAATTTGATCTGAATTCTTTACCATAGGATAGGTCTTGCCCATATGAACAACTTTGCCGAAGACGGCAACATTCTATCTTGTCTAAAGGTTAAGTTAGGGCAAACAATTTAAAATTAATGTCACACTAACGCTGCCTGGTGAGTGCATTTTGAACTAAAAATTTTACCTTAGGAGAGATCTTTTCCATCTGAATAACTTTTCCGAAGACGGAAACTTTCTATCTAGTCCGTGTGTTAAGTTAAGGCAAACAATTCATAATTGATTTCACGCTAGCGCTGCCTGGTGAGTGAATTCTCAACTAAACTCTAGTCCTGAAGATAGGTCTAGTGCATCAGAATATCTTTACCTAAGACGGAAGCCTTCTATCTAGTCCATTTGTTAAGGCAATCAATGCAAAATGAGTGTCACTCTAGCGGTGTCTAGTGAGTGAATTCTGAACTAAACTCTTTTCTTGAAGATAGGTCTTGTTCATCTGGACAACTTTGCTGAAGAATGGACCCATCTGTATGTGCAGGATCTGTAGATAACGTTATATAATGTTTATTTACGATGGCGTAACTGGATCATTTTCATTTTAGCGCCATCTAGTGAGTGAATTTTGTCATGCACTATCCATAGTTTTGAAGACCTTGTATTTTTGAACATCTTCACAGAAAGAAGCAACCTCCTATATGGTTGGGATCTCGTGATACAAACATTTCTAACATCAAAATATACCATTTCATGGGTATATTTTTGCAATGACCCCTCCCCCGATATATCCACCTCTAAAAAAGTCTGATAGTAATAACAGGAAGTCCACTAAATTACCTTTGCAAAACATTTTAAATTTAAGAAATCCATTGAAATTTCGTTAAGATACGGCAATTTGAATTTGGGGTCAAATTGACCCCAAGGTACAGACAACGTAAGTATTTCAATAATTGTTTTCCAATAAATATTTTTTCAAGTTTTTTGACGTAAATTTTATCAAGTATTACAGAGCTCCGGTGGACGCGCCTAGTCGTGAAAGAATTAGAAAAATCCATCGACACATAAAATAGTTACAGCCTATCAAAATGGCCTGGGGTCAAATTAACCCCATGGTACAGACAAAGGGTTAACGTTGCTGTTACCACATTCAGATTCCTATGTTCACAATACCGGTTTCTCAAAATAACGTGATTATTTCTGCGTGGTTTTTCAAAGTTACTACTTGGGTGTAGGTATTTCAATTTTGAATTAGTTAGCCCTGCAGCAGGGCTGAATTTCGGGGAGGGGGCCCGGCCAGGCCACGCATTTGAAATTCAAACTACGAATGCAAACAATACGCCCCCTAAGAATAGCAGCCCTAAGTCCAGCGCTGCCTTGCTTCGTGGTTTCATGGAGATATACTTCTATAACACTCAAGGAAAATTTAATTCAATCCAATCAAATCATTCTAATTAACCAAAAATGTGGCCTGGACTTCATTCCGAACTGCTTGATTATTAACTGACAGAACCTCGAGGGTGCAAAGTGCGTCAGGCGATGCTGTGAACAAGCACGCTTCTCGGCAACAGGACAGCCGTGCTGTGTCAAAGCATCGTTAAGCACTTTGCACCCTTGGGGTTCTGCCAGTTAAATAACAATTGTTATACAGCTTTCCCCCGAAGAACGCGTTACCCACTGAGTTCTACCCACCGCTTTATCTCGGTGAGTTTTCAACCAGTTCGTCACCAGAACTAGTCTCTAGCTGAAAATCGAATCCATATCGATTGAAAACTCGCCGAGAAAAAGCGGTTGGGTAACGCCTTCTTTGGGGGATAGCTGTAAGTTAAACTCCATTAAACTTTACAAAAGAGCTCACTTCTTGAATAAAAAATACCCTTCACTGCAATGTACCAAGTACCTCCCAATCCCCTCTTACCTTGCCACCTCATTCAAGCATCAACTTACCCGCACTTTTTCAAAGATCCAAACGAACCACGTCGTAACCAGATTCATCGGCGACGGTGCCGTCGAAGTTCGATGCATGTTCCGGATCAGCTTCGACAAGCCGTACTTCCACTCGATGTCTGATTGGGCCTAGGGTTTCAACCCAATGCGGGTGCGTTCGAACACACAGAAACAACAAACGAGAAAGAGAAAGAAGAAAAAAAAACGAGAACAAACAAGCAAAACGCTAAAGCTTTCAGGCGACTAAGCATCGGAACTTCAGTTCAGAAAGGAAATGAAGAAATCAAGAGTGTGACGGTGAGGAGAACGAAACGAGTGAGTGAAATCAGGAACGGAAAGGAGCAATTTACTTGGTCACTTAACGCACACCCACCAGGCCACTGACGAGTCGGAACAGATCCTAGGGTCCCGATGGGACCGGACGATCTTCCGGCGGACCCAGCAGGACCCTCATCGAAGGGCGGTCGAATCGTTCAAACTGGTCATTGATCCCTCTTCGGAAAGAGCTTGAAAAGGACAGACAGAGAGATAAAGAGAGCATGGTGTGTGTGATTTCGGAAAGGGGTAGAAGCCCGAAAGATGGGTGTGCGCCCTTACCAGAATAAACTACAAACTTGGCTTTGTCGAGGGTAAAGAAACATAGGTGCGAGTTGTTCTGGGGGTTGGGGGATTTTCAGTCGTGCGAGGTATTGAGGTTATGTTTCTTTGTTATTTTTTCTCTCTTATGATACCTGAATTCTCTGGTACGTATCAGACATCATAGCAATGAGCAGATTGATAAGGACAACCACTGATACCAACATGTAAATGCCAAAGACAATTTTGAACAAGTACTCGGTCCAATATGGCTGCGTTCGCGTGGTATTCGGTGTCATTTTATCAATTTGTGTTTGATCGGTGGTGGTTTGACCAAATACAGCGAAAAAGAGCAGTTCAAAGGACAGAATCGGATTCATGCGCACTGATGACGGCGGCGGCGGCGAGGGCGGTGATGGCAGTAGCGGTCGGTTTGTGGTTGGGTGGCGTCGACGTCGCGTATTGGTCGTGATTCGGACGACGACGACGACGACGATGAGTTTCGTTTGGTTTTTGTTTTGTGTTTGGTTTGTAAGGTTTTGATTTTTTTTTTTGGTATTCGGTTCGTTTCCAATTGACCAATTTGAGAATCGACACATAGATGGTTGGAAAAGAAAGAAAAAGAAAAAGAAAAGAACAGCATTTAGCACCCTGAGCACGACTAACCTGAATGCGCTGATAGGTATCCGACATCATCGCGATAAGAAGATTAATTAGCACTACTACGGAGACTAACATATAAATGCCAAAAACAATCTTGAATAGGTTTTCCGTCCACTCGGGACGCGTCGACCGCTGGGAGTTGATGTCGTCCGGTGAGGTCTGGCCGAAGACGGCGAAGAACAGGCGCTCGAAGGCGATGATCGGCGTCATCGGGACTGCGGTTGTCGATGGAGTTGACGGTGGTGGTGGTGGGGGGATAGGAAAATATGATGGACTCATGTTAGATGGGCTGAACCCGGTTGATGGGGGTCGTCCTAACACCTATACTGATCTGGATTCCAATTCGTTGGTTGCACTTGGTTGTTGTTGGTTGTTGTAGTTGTAGTAGTAGTTGTCTGTTGTTGTAAGTGTTGATGAAGGCAGCATAGTTGCTTTTGATTGGCTTGACAAGTCAGTTGATTGGAAGCGAACAAGACAAATTCAAACATCTACTCATAAAAAGCGTCGTAGGTGAAATGAATGGTACCGGAAACTACACTTCAGTTAGGTCTATAACAGTGACAGTGCATTCAATAAAAGTATTTTGTTACTTTATACGTTAACGTTTCTCAGAAATGACAGGGTATACAATACAGAAGCTCTCCAATTCTAAAAAAATACTTATATGCTCACTTTCCTGCAGCAAACACTTGGTATTATTTCAAACTTCGTACATTACGTAGCTCGAGAGTTACGAGTCTGAGAAAATACGAAGTGGTAAAAGAAATTGCGTGTGACGAGACATCCGACAGCCATTTACTCAATCATCTTTGCCAAACTCTAATGTTTGTGTTTGTGAAAATGTTTGTTACATTCAACTCACAACAACACATAAATACTGAACACGTGGTTTTCCTGATAAAATATTAACAAGCATTGCTAATGCTCACATAATGCTGATTAAGCGCATTTAGCATTAGTAGTGCTGAATAAAGACTTATAGCATTAGCATAGTTGATTAAAGCCTTTTAGCATTACCAATGCTGTATATGGGCTTATAAGCACTAATAATTCTGAAGTAAAGCAGATTTAAGGCTTTGTACTAATGCTTAAGGTTACTTGGGTATAGTAACATCGATATGAAGCTTTAATGCGATAATGTATTAGCTAGATTGAAGGAGTGCGCATTTGAGTCCGCATCGTGCGCTCTTGCCGTGCGAACTTACAAATTGTTTACCTTGTTTAACTCTTATTCCTCTTCGATCCTTGTTTGGACCCTACCCGAGGTAATCCTGCTTGGATATCGATTTAGAAAATTCCTCTTCAATCCTTCAGAGTCTTATAGTAATCTGTTTGGAAGTCGATTTGGAAAAAAAGTTTTACTGCCGCCATGGTGCCTAAATGCAAAAGAAGAGGGCAACCTCTTGATCCCACTTCTGATGAAAATAATTTGAGCAATCAATTTGATTTGCTCACGGATGATGAGAATGATCCGTCATCCAGGAAAAATTCTAGTAAACTTTCCTGGCTAAATGCCAAGAAGGAAAAGATTCCCCCCTATTGTGATAACCACTTCCGATTTCCAAGCTCTTCGCACGGAACTTTTGAACTTCGTGAAATTTAAGTTTTCACTGCAAATTGGCCGTCGGGGTGAATGCCGTGTATTGGCTGAAACCTTGGACGGATCGGATATCGTACTGAGAAACAGCATACATTTTTTACTTACGACACCAAAACTGAACGTGTGTTCAAGGTTGTCATGAAAGGTCTGCCCAGTTGTGAATCCCTGGATCAGATCAAAGATGAACTGGAAAAATTACTTGAAGTTGTGCCAGTCAGCCAGTAATCAAAATGAAAATGAAATCTCGTTCTGGCGAGTCATGCAACGGGATTTCTAATAATTTTTATTTAGTTCACTTCAAGGCTAGCGAACTAAACATCCTTAAGGCCTTAGAAAAAGCTAGCCTTATGCTCCATATCCAAGTGAAGTGGAAACACTTCAGGAAGACTGGAGGAAACTTCCAAAACCTCACACAGTGCCGCAAGTGCCTGGGATGGGGTAACGGAACAAAAAAATGCTACATGCCAGCTAAATGCATGAATTGCGCTGATTATTCTTACGCTAAGGACGACTGTCTAGTGAAGGAAGATCTTAAAAAAAAAAATGTTCAAATTGTGGTGAAAACCACAAATTCAATTTTTGGGAATGTAAGACTCGCAAAGCGATCCTACAATCTCGTTTTAAGAGACAGGTAGGAAACGCTCCACGTTCATAACTACATTCATACCCGTAGCTACAAATATCACCCTTGCATAAAATTCTTCATCTATACCTGCTCCCCACGCTGCAAACAATGTTCAGCGAGTAAATGGAGCTGCCTATGCTGCTATTGCATCGAGTAGAAATCAAAATACTAGCCAACATAATTCTAACGAAAATTTTGAAAATTTTGATTCAGGTAGCATTACTGCTCAAAAAATGGATTTTATACAGAAATCATTAATTGACATGCGATTTGCAAACAATATCGTCATGACCAGGGACGTGCGCAAGGGGGGAGCAGGGGGCCATGGCCCCTCCAAATGATTTGTGTTTCATACCCCCATGCGCCCTCCTGATGCTCCTCATGCTAGACCTTTACCTGTTAACGGCCTCCTATTGTTTCATACACATTAGAAAAAAAAATCAAAATTCTATAAACATAACACACACCTTTCTTGTGATGTATCAGCAAGTTGAACAAAAAAATTCTAAGTTCTCTTAAACAGCCGCCATGAGAAGTCATGAAGTGTTTGACAAAATTGTAATTATTAGTTTAAATGCCTTCACACAAAACATTCTCTAAAAACTTGATTTTTTTTCTAAATTTTATGCAAAAGCAAATTCGGCGGAGGAATTAAGAATGATGATTTTATTCAAATAATAACAAGCTACAGGGGGCGCTAGGAGTATTTAATTTAAATTTGATTTGCGTTTTTTACGTTGATGCTACTCAAGAAACTGCAAGGCGTTTGGAAAATAAGGAAATTGAAAGTGTGTTTTTAAATATCTCTGATTCAACAGAAGGGCACCAGAGGTATTTGTAATGTTTCATCAAATTAGAATAATTAGTTAACAACTAGGCACGCTAGGAGTCCTTATTTTATTTTTTTTTCATACTTAGATTATACCAATGCAACTGGAAGCCGTTTGGGTATTTGATGGTTCATTAATTGAATTTGATTTTAAATATCTTTTCTTTGATGATATACATGCTTTTGGAAGGCGTTTTGATTTTTGCATTCAATTTAAATGGTTTGCATTATGGGACGCTAAGTATACTTATTTTTATTTATTTTTAATGATACTAATGCAAACTCAAGGTTTTTGGGAAGTTTGAGAAAATTAGAATTTTTGCTTTTAATTTCCTTGAAGCAAAAATGGCGAGGGGTCTTTAGTTGAATTTGATTTGATTTTTTAATTTTTGTGTCCTGAAATTGGAATTGTTGGTTTGTAACAAGGGGCGCTAGAGGGGTCTTTAATTGAATTTATTTTTGTGTGTTTCTTTCGGTGATGAGCAGGCCCGTGGAGGGTGTTTGAAAAATGGAGAAATCGAATGTGTGGTTTCAAATATCTCTGATGCAACAGGGGGGCACTAGGGGTCTTTAATTGAATTTGATATTTTTTTATACTTTGTGGTGATACCAATGCAACTGGAAAGCATTTATAATTGTTGATTGTAAATGTTGGTGTTAATGTTCCTGAAGCAACAAGGAGCACTAGGGGTCTTTAAATGAATTTGATTTTATTGTTTAGTTTTTGTTTCCTGCAATTGTAATTATTGATTTGCAATAGAAGCCGCTAGGTATCTTCATTTAATTTCTTTTTGATACCTTCATGATACTTATGCACCTGAAAGGCGTTTGTAATGTTTGATGAAATTTGAACTGTTGGTTTAATGTCACTGAAGCAGAGCAAGTAGTCTTTAGAGCAATTTTATTTTATTGATTAGTTTTCGTTTCCTGAAAATGGAATTGTTGGTTTGTAACAGGGGGCGCTAGGAATCTTAATTTGATTTTTTTTTTCATACTTGGATACTAATGCAATTGGAAAACTTTTGTATGGCAAAATTGTAATTGTTGGATTTAATGTCACTGAAGCAACAGAGCTAGCGGTATTTAATTGAATTTAATTTTTTGTTTTTATTTTAATGATGAGCATGCTCTGGAGGGCGTTTAAGAAATGGGGAAATTGTATGTGTGGTTTCAAATATCTTTGCTACAACAGGGGGCGCTAGAGGTCTTTAATTGAATTTGATATTTTGTTAACTTTGGTGATATTAATGAAACTGAAAAGTGTTTGTAATGTTTTATGAAATTTGAAATGCTGGTTTTAATGTCCCTGAAGTAACAAGTGGTCTTTAGATGAATTTTATTTTAATTTATAGTTTTTGTTTTCTGAAACTTGAATTGTTGGTTTGTAACAGGAGGTGCTAGGGGTCTTTATTTGAATTTTATTTCATACTTGGATGATACTGATTCAATTGGAAAACTTTTGTAATGGATGACGAAATTGTAATTGTTGAATTTAATGTTAAGGGTCTTTAATTTAATTTGATTTTTTTACTTTGATGATATGCATGCTTCTGGATGGCGTTTTAAAATGAAAATATTGGATGTGTGGTTTCAAATATATCTTATGCAACAGTGGGTCACTAGGGTTTTTTTTATTGAATTTGATTTTATTTTTTATTTTCGGGACCTTGTGGTCTTAGAGTTACCTCTATGATATAAAGCTGCTGCTTGTTTGTCACATTCGAGACACACACACTATTCATGTCAAAGAATTAGTTGTACCTGCAGCAGTCATCCACAACTGAAATTTTGTATACCTGCTAATCTATCTGATTTCATCGTACTTCTAAAGCACGTTTTAGCTGTATTCCATAGGAACGTATTTTTCACTTTTAGGACCATGTAATAAAGACATTTTAGTAATTTGTGTAAAATTCAGAATAACGTTGCTGGTTAAAGCATATATGTATCCAAAACTTTAGTAATTTTTTTTTGCAATCAATACAACCGCCCTACTAGTGCGTGAGGTCGCTTGCCCTTTCCGCATACTTTGCGAACTTAGGTTGGAAAGATTTATTATGTATTAATTTCCACCGTACAAAGAGACATTTTAAAATTTCTGGAATATGTAATGTTTAATGATTCAAAATAATAATAATATGATTATTTATAAAATTCTTTCAAAATCACGAACCTAAAATAAATCAACTATCTGATGCATCGATTTTTTTTAATTCTTGGTGCATTGAAAGTTTTAAAGCTGCATCTAAAATCTCTTGTACTTGGACGTGGAGCTCAAAACGTAATTCAGTGGATGAATTATTTTACAGAGATCTTCGTCTCAGTGTTAAATTATTTACTTTATAAACTAAATTTTTAATCAGATATGTGTCTAACAAACAACAGTTTTTAAAAATTTTCGTTAAACCTCGAAATTTTTCAAAGAAAATCATGAAAATCTGGAAAGCAAGGAAAATGTAAGTAAGTAAACATTACCTCTTCAAAATTATTGGCGCCCTCAAAGCTATGAAGTGCCCCCTTTTGGAAGGCGGTCCTCTTCAAATGAAGAGGGCTGCGCATGCCAGTGGTCATGACTTTGAAATTCAGTAATGGATTTTATGTCATTAAATATTTTGAATTGGAATGCTCGATCTCATATAATCACAAAAGACTCCCAGCTGAAACATGGACACAGCTGGTTGGCGTAGCCTGGGCAATGTTGTCAATCCGTGAGTGAGGAGGTGCGACGCGAACACTGGCGCGGTAACCATAGCACGGTGATAGAGGAAATGCTTCGCCAACCCGAGCGTCTGTTCACCATGGAGGTGCGGCTCAAACAGCGTCTGACTGGCATCCAGCGGCTGAATAAGAAATGCTCTTCCCCGGAAGCTACACCTAAGATGGCAGCTCCATCACGGCGGATAGGAGACCTTAGACCAACCACCTACTGTCTCTGAAACCTTTACAATTGTTACAGAAACCAACAGAGAAAGACATCGAACTGACATAACAGCAACGACTTTTAGCGCAAAACAACGGACACGAATTGGATCATGGAATGTATTGACGTTAGCCCAGCAGGGTAAACTGGCACAACTCGCCAACGAGGCGCGACGCATGAAGCTAGAAATCCTGGGACTGAGTGAAGTTCGTTGGCCAAACTTTGGAGAACACAAACTGCCGTCGGGACAGGTACTACTATATTCTGGTATTCGAGGTGAAAACGCTCCCCGCCATCGTGGAGTTGGTCTTCTACTTAGCGTCCAGGCAAGTGCTGCGCTCATCAAGTGGGAGCCTGTTAATGAGAGGATAATCGTTGCCAGATTTAGAACACGGGTTCGTAACCTTACCATAATCCAATGTTATGCGCCAACCGATGCTGCCGAGCTACAGGACAATGAGAATTTTTACAGTCAACTGAATGCCGTCGTGGATAAGGTTCCAAAGGGTGACATCAAGATCTACACTGGCGACTTCAATGCGAAGATCGGCTCCGACAACACGGACTATGAGCGTGTCATGGGACGCCATGGTCTCGGCGAAATGAGCGAGAACGGTGAGCTGTTTGCAGAATTTTGTGGCAATAACGACATGGTGATCGGGGGCTCGTCACGTGGGTTTCCCGTGTTGGACATACCGAGAATCAGATCGACCACATCTGCATCAGCCGAAAATGGAGATGGAGCCTTCTTGATGTCCGGAATAAACGCAGCGCCGACATCGCGTCTGAGCATCACCTTCTAATCGGTGAAATCCGCCTACGCATGGCGCGGATCCAGCGACGGGAGGAGAGACTCGGGCGGCGGTTCAACACACGCCGACTTGAAGATCCAGCGGTAAAAAGGTCTTTTGTTCATGAACTTGAGACTCGAGGTGCGGACGTTCCAGAAGGTGGCAGCGTAGAAGAACAATGGACGGCCATCAAGAATGCCTTTATAGAAACAAGCGAGAACAACTTGGGTGAGCTGCGCACCCAGAGGAAAGAGTGGATCACAGATGAAACCTGGCGGAAGATTGAGGAGCGTAGTGAAGCAAAAGCCGCGATAGAGCGGTCGAGAACCAGAGGAGCCAAGAACGAAGCCCGTCAACGGTACTCGGCTCTAGAGAAGGAAGTCAAGCGCTCTTGCAGACGGGACAAGCGAGCGTGGGTGAACTCCCTGGCCGACGCAGGGGAGAAAGCCGCAAACACTGGCGAAATACGCCTCCTCTATGATATCTCACGACGCCTGAGTGGAGCAAGAATGAACTCGAAGATGCCAGTGAAGGACACGACTGGACAATTGCTTACCGACCCCACTGACCAGCTGAAACGCTGGTTTGAGCACTTTGAACAACTTCTTCAAGTTTCGACGGCCAACCAGCCATCAACATCTCGGCATGAATTTTGGATGTATAGAAATAACGCGTGCAGAAAGGTGGAAAAACTCGCTGTACACGGCCAACGAGATCAACCCAAATTTGATTTTCCTTTACTCATCGCAAAAAGTGCAGGAATTCAGCAATGAGTAAATTTGCTTCATGTTTTTCCAGCTTGTAAATTTTCTCAAGAAGCTAAGGAAGAAACTGATTTTCTTGTATGTTTAATATTTTTTCTCAATAGTTTTTGAAAAAAAAGCGTCGAAAATATTTTCTTTATTGTCGAGGCGGTAAACTTCCCCTAAAGGACAAGATTGATGTATTCCACAAATGGCCGCAACGACGCGACGGAGGTCAAGGCCAAAGCAAGCTTCGCCCTGGATGGCAACCATTCATTTTGGTTCACTGAATACGACGATTACCATTCATTTCCCCTACAATTTACTGAACCAATTGGTGTCTATGAGATGAATCTATTTTCAACAATATATTTTACAACAAGGTGCACTAATTTGGGCCTAAGTAACATTCACTAATGCAACTGAAAAACAACCAAAACCAAATACATCGCATTAGTGCTAGGATTACATGCAAGCCAAACTCCGTCCACTCCGGTTCGATTTTTTGCAGCCAGCCAAACGTGTGAATCCCACGAAGCCCCCATTTGTACATGCATCAACGCAATACGGCAACGGCAACGGTGGTGGTGAGGTTCGTCCATTCGCAGCCTTCCTATTTACATCGACGATTGTTTTTGGATTAATACTAAATTGGTGCAATTGTTAAACGAAAAGTACCTTCGGTGCTAAACAACGAAAAGTGAGTCGTGAGATAGAACAGGAAAGAGGAAAACAAGCAATGCATTTGAAATCAGACTTGCAATTTTTTTTTTTTGAAACGCGCTAAATAGCATCATCGAACATCGAACGTATGTTACAGCATGAATGAAATTTTGCTACACATCACCATCACAGAAAAGGAAAATCATACGCAACGATTGAATTTTTGTTTTGCTTTGATCATCGAGTAACTTACATACACCGGACAGTGACAGTGGATACGAACGATAGTTGGGAAAATAATCAAAAGAACTTAGGTCTGAAAACCATTCCAAATCATATAGAAAAAAAAACGGAAACTAACTGGACAAGGCAGTGGTGCATGGATTGACACACTGATAGAAAGGTTTTCCGAAATGGAAGTCGGGAAATATAGAACAAAACACAGACAACAGAGGCCGGCCTGAAACAAACCGTGCAGAATCATTCGCCACATTCGCTTTGTAGGTAAGTTTGGTGGTGATTTTTAGTTATGTTTTTGAGGGGGTTGGGGGGGAGGTAGAAAATTTTGATACTCGTCCTGCTCAACAGTTATATTCTTTGTTTGTATTTTTCCGGTGGAATTTTCAGTTTTCATTCCGTTCGGTAAAATCAGTCACTTACTGTCGGTTTTGTGTTTACGACGATAATCAGTTATGGGCTGGCCAGCGGCCGCTCGTTTTATACGCTCAACCTCGTCGCTATGATAATCGCTGTTTTCGTCTGAGTAGAAAGCATCTTCTGCGATAGGAAAGTTGAGAGAATGTTAAAGAGTGGTGCCAAAGCCGGGGTCGATTCGAGCGATTCTGAACCGTGAGAATAATTCGGATAGCGGGGAAAGTCTGTACACTTCCGGTTAAGAATCGCTGGCATATTTTTTGTTTGACTGTTCAGATGGGGTACTGTGGATGAGGTTTGAAGTATAATTAGTCGAAATGTGATGACGTATCAAGAAAAACGGAAAATAGGTGGAAAAATGGTTAATTACTAACTAGTAATACTACCTGTTACAGAGACTCTAGAGATCATGCAAATTTGGAAATAAAGTCGTTAATCAATCTTCTTATTAATCGCGCATTTTGTACCCAGGTTACCATTGTTAAATATGTATCATCATCATCGGATTGTAGCAATCTACTTACATCCCGGCAGCGGTCAACTTACCATCGCTGAAGATTTCCTTATTCCTCGTCGACAGAGGCAACCGGCGTACCTCGTCCGGACTAAGATTGTGAAACGATTGGTTGAGTGCCACGATGTGCATCGAGAATCCAAACACGAAGATCGCCAGCACGGCCAGAAACCGGGCCAAATCCTTGAGCAAATCTCCGATGATGATGGCCCACGGACCGAACAGGTGGTGAAACGAAAGAAAGTCCAAGATCTGCACGCACGCCAACAGGAACGAAAGGGCAAACAGCTGATTCCGGCAGTACAGCAACGTCGGCCAGAAGGTTTTCTGCACGTACAGCATCCCGGACACGTGCACCCCGACACCGATGATCCCAAATAGCAGCACCAGTACCTTGATACTTCCGAGACCGGATTTGTCGCTTGGATTGGTCAGCTCGAACAGCAGTAAGCCGCTGAGCCAGATCAACAGGCCCCACTCGTACCAGTAGGGCAGAAGACTGGCTCGCACTACCGGATAGATGGGCGTAATGCCCACAATCATCAGATGGATCATCAGGTAGATGTGCGATGTGAGATAGGACATGAACTTGATGATGGGAACTTTGTAGTAGTTGTGCCCCAGTGGAAGCGTGAAAATTATCCACACCGGTGGGCACACGATGAAACCGACAAACAACAGCATTATTCGCCACGCCGTCCAGTTGAGCGTGCCTCGCCAGAGTTCCTGTGGGATGCGGAGGAAAAGCAGTTAGGTTGGGTTTATCGGAAACAGGAACAACCAATGTTGTGAATGATGAGGTTTGAAATGTCATAATAACTCATGGGATTGACTCTCTGAGTGGTACCAAGTCTGCAGAATGCGTGTCGATGCTGTGAGAAAGCTCGCGTCTCGGCAATGGGAGAGTCGTGCTGCGTCACAGCATCGACACACAGTTTGCAGGATTTGGTACTCTAACATGACTTCACATTACGACTAGAGATTTATTGATGAAGGATTCCAAATATGAAATCAAGTTTGTTGTTACCTACAAGCAATTGATGAAGCTGAAAATGATATTGAACACTTTAATAAATTCAGGGTTGCATCATGAGATGTGAACCTATTTATTATAGACCGAGATGAAAAAATACGATTTGTGGTTAAAAAATTCCCTTCGATAGAAAGATGACCTTGGATGTCAGCAACATGTTATTTTACTTTGAACTTTCAACTTTTACTTTGAATGGCTTAAAAATTTCGCGAAAAAGAAATTTTTCATAAGAAACGAGAAGAGATCTTCAAACTTGTCAGTAGTGAAAGATTTATAAGCTTCACATGTATTTGTTTTCCACTTTGATGGTATTGGTGTTATCGAGAATATCTTAAACCATGAAAAACTAATACAGCTACATCATATCAAAATGTTGATGGGTGGGTAGTATTGCAATCATTCAAAGGTTATCAGGAAGGTTATTTTAATATTTAAATCCTACGTTCTAAGGCTGTGAACCATTTGCCGAGTTAAATTTAACTCGTGGTTAAAAGTGACATTTCGAAAGTTATGTTCGAAAATCCCTGTTGTCAAAATTTAACTTCTTGTCTGTCAGAAATAACCACGCAGGGTTAATCGATAACTTTTCATCTGTCAAATTTTAACCAAAAGTTAAAAAAATCGCCAAATGGTTCAGAGCCTAAGCAAGATTATCAAATCTTTATAAACCTATAAAACGTATGAATAAAATAAGTATACTTTATTTGACCCTGCTTTTTTACGAAGCGAGAAAATTAAACTCTTTTATTCATATGAACAAATAACACAATTAGAGCATCTTAATACAAAGTTTCTGTTTCTTTTCTATTGGGATTTTCTGAAATTTTTGTGAGATTTTCCGATTTTCTGTAAGTTACTAGATTTGCTTTTGATTCACCAGAAATGCTTTAGGAATTCGCTATTATCCTCCTTAGAGAACTTCAAAAAATTAATTTATTTTTACAAAAACTTTATTTGAACTGTGACATCACTTGAATGACATTGATCGGGCTTTAAATATTACTAACGAGTAAATTTCGAACCATACTGTTTACTATTAAACGAATCTATCCTATTTTATCAACTTTACTGAAAATAGAAATCTTCTATCTGGTCTCGATCCCAAGTTATCACTAGATTTACAAATCTGTTATCCCAGACAACCAGAATGCACGTATATTCAAAGTTGTTTTCGTGATATACAAACATATAAAACAAACAAATAATTCGTATATAATGCAAGGAAATGGCTTATACGTACAAAAGTGGAGGCCATATACGTGCATATTTTAATTTATTATTAAACGAGTTGATTTAACATCATAATCTGTAATAACAAATTAATTTTGAAAAGTCTTACGATGTAATCCGATTTAATTTGTGATACAGTACGACGGAAAAATGAGTCATCGCATATAGGTCGGAAATTTGCATTCTATACGATTTAACTTAAACATAATGCGAGGTATGCCATTCTTATATGCGATTTTGACTTAAACTGTAGCAATTTACGATACTGTCTGTACATTGTTATACGACTTCTGGTTGTCTTGGATACACTTCATATAGTCGGATCGAAACAAAAATCGAATGAAAAGGATCGATCCAATCAATTTTTGTCGTATTTGAGATTGATTCAAAAAATCGATTTATCGAACCTAAAGAATCGATCTTTTGTGTTTCGATCATGGCCTCCTCGTATCCGACCGGATCAAGCAGCACAACCTTGGCAACATGAATTTCGAAATCCTTCAACCGCAGCGGAAGGACTCCTCTAGTACTGCGAATTTGACGTTGCTCTCCATCGTGATGATTAGCTTCTTCACAATGTTCACCCCAGCCGTAGAATTTTTCTTCTTCTACCGAACTACCTTGCATCGGTTTTCGCTGACCACCCGATGGCTTCTCAGTAGGTAGTTCTTGACCCCCCGTTGCCTCCTCCTCAATCTTTATCGGCACTGCATCAATCAAGAGCTCTTCATCCTTTTCGACAGGACCATCCAGCATCAACGATCCGTTCTTCAATTCAATAAACCGGGCATCCCGACTGATGGTGATTCTATCGGTTGCCGGATCCAGGAACCTATAACCCTTTCGGTCATCGAAATAACCCACGAATATAAACTCCTGGGCTTTATCGTCAAGCTTCGCTGCACATCCGGGATGTGTACGTAGGCGACACTACCAAAAACTCGAAGATGTTTCAGCGAAGGTTTGTCACCAAACCACTTTTTGAAGAGTGTTGTGTCCACGGCACGTGACGGCAATCTATTTTGGATGTATGTCGCTGTCATAATTGCCTTGTCCCAATACATCTTAAGAAGCACAGCGTCCAGCGGCATGCAAGTGGCCATTTCCTGAAGAGTTCGATTCCATTTTGTTGCAGGAATTGGATCCCATCCAGCTCGTAAAACTCCTTCAGCTCTTGATTTGCATACTCGCCTCCCCCGTCGGAACGAATAACGCAGGGTGCCCTTCCGAAACGATGCTTCATATGGGCCACGTACCGCTTGTTGCACCGCGCTGCATTGGACTTCTGACGCAGTAGACAGACTACTTTTGTTACGTATTAGAATTTGCATTAAGTTTTGAAGCTATTTGTATTAAGTACAAGCTGTTGACACAACTAGTGAGTATGGCGAACGTGAGCGTGCACAAGCAATGATGCCTCAAATGCCTCAAATTGGAAACGAACCAAACAACGAAAACCTCATCGACAGCATCCGCTGACAACGCTTCCGCCGCACGCACACCGACACACTATAGACCGGCATGCAAAGCAGAGAAACCGGCAGAGCAAAAGTTTGCTTGTCCTCGTCCGAATAGCACGCGAAACGGCGCAATCTGTCGGACCGATAGTTTCGAGTGACACTCGATGAAGCAGGTCGCCGGACACGACGGACGGGAAGTACCCAAGGATGCTGCAGAGTGGTCTTCGATCAACGGAGGAGGAGGAGAAAGCATCGATGTGTGGTGTCGTGCGGTGTCGGTTCGGCGTCTGATTGCAGCGATTCGTCGAAAAGCAAGCGGCGGTAAGGGTGCACCCGGCCGGTAACAGCGAGTACTTACAAGAAGAGAAAATATGATTGGAAAGACAATAGGAGGCACCAAGATGCCGTAAGAGCAGGATAGTAAGGTAGTAGAAAAGTAGGAGGAAGAACAGCTCCAATGTAAGGGACCAATGGGGGGGATTCAAAATATAAGTACAAAAATGCATTTGGCGTTCGTTTTTGGATTTGTTGGAACCTTTGCCCTTTAGTGTTTGTGCTTTTGTCCACCTCTCTGTATTTTTTGCTCTACCGCTACAGGAGTTTTTGCAACACTGTATACCGACTAAAATCATCAATTGTATAATTGGTAAGGTAACGGCATCCTCCAGGGGTTACGTTGACCACCGGGCCACACACGTTTGTATGGACCAAATCAAGGGTACGCTTACCTCTACTCTGCGTCGCTTTAGGAAAGGAAATTCTAGACATTTGTCATAAAGAGTCTACGTAAGGCTTGAAATTGAAAAAAAAATGCACCTTTTTTATCCTTGTGTAACTTTTTATCCGTGGGTAAAAATTGATGAAAATCTGGATATAACTAGTTTGGAGTGAATTGTTTACATGTGCAAAATTTCATAACAATAGGTTCAGTGGTTATTGAGATGTCATCGAAACAAGAAGAAAATCGCCGGAGAATTTTGCGCGCCGTCATGGAAAATCCGACTGCGACCATGAGATGGATTGGAAGACAACTAGGAATCACCCATACAACTGTGTCTCGGGTGGTAAAATCGTTTAAGGATTCCCAGACGACCGAGCGGCGGGCTGGAAGTGGAAGAAAATCGAAGACAGCTGACTCTGTGAAGGCCCGGAAACGTAATCCGAACCTTTCGATTCGCGACGAGGCTTTGAAGGCAAAGTGTTCCGCCTGGTTCGTTCAGCAAACCATGAAACGAACTGGGTTTCGTGTATTCAAGGTCCGAAAGGCACCGAACCGGCGTGATCAACAAAACACGGTGGCCGAATCCCGCGCAAGGAAGCTGTATCGAGAGTGGTTAACGAAACCGATGTGTGTGGTTATGGATGACGAAACCTATATCAAGGCAGACGCAAAGCAGATACCGGGGCTGGAGTTCTACGTTGCCAAATCACGGTTTGATATTCCGGAAGACATAAGGAAGAAGAAAGTGGACAAATTCGCCAAAAAATACTTGCTCTGGCAGGCCATATGCCAATGCGGTAAACTGAGTAAACCGTACATCACAATGGGTACCATCAACAGCGAAATTTACTGCACCGAGTGCCTCCAGAAGCGTTTGTTGCCCTTCCTGCGGTCCCACGGAGGCGAGACATTATTTTGACCGGACCTTGCATCATGCCATTATGCGCGATCGACGTTGGATTGGTACAGAGACAATAACGTTGTTTTTGTATCAAAAACCGCCAACCCCCCAAATTCACCAGAGATTCGTCCGGTGGAAAGATTTTGGGCCATAATGAAGGCCAATGTTCGAAAATCGTCCAAGGTGTTTAAGAACGAGCTGGAGTTGAAGAAAGAATGGATGAAAGTGACCAAAAAGGTCGGCTTCCCCATTGCACAAAATGTAATGAGGGTTAAGGGAAAGGTGCGGGCTTTCAGCGATGGAAAGAAAATTGAATAAAGTATTTATGTCAAAACATAATCCATATGTTTTAATTCATTCCCTGAAAGTTTCAAGAAAATT